AGAAAGATTGTTAATTACACATTATGATACCAATTATATCCAAATGCATTATGAAACAGGATCTTTGCTAAGCAATTTCATTATTTTAACTCCTTTCTTCTATCATTTTTAATAATTGTTCTCTGGCTTTTATTACATTAAGATGCAATTAAGAAAGAAAAGTCCTTTATATTTTAAATCTACTGCATTTTTTTTTTTACATAAAGAATTCCACAGCCTTCCACAATAAGGTAGCACACAATATAGCCGAAAGACAAAAGGAACAACTTAGATAAAACTAGCTGAGTCCCATTTAGGGGGAGAAAATCCAAGTCTACTTATTTTGAGAACCCTTGGCATTTACTGAAATGATGGAGAATTCTTGATCACGCGAAGGCAAAACAAACCACATACTTGAACACTCATATGGAAGAGAAAGCTCTCTACCATCCAAGGAAGAGGGCATGGCAAATCAGGACTCAAATGCTAAACTCTGGGATTACTAAATGTTCAACACTAATATTCAGTACTAATATTAATTGAATATTCAACCACCTGCCCAGTAAAATTTTAGACACCAGTATTAAATGTGAACCCACCCATGCTGAATTATATTTCCTTTGAAGTATAAAAATAATGTCATCTAATCTGTAGAAGAATGAACAAAGAAGAGTAAAATTTTTAACAATTTTAAGACACAATTTGTGAGCCATAAAATTTCACATTCACACACACTAAGGCTGAGTGGCATTACAGTGACTGACAAGGAATATTTCTGTGCCATCCATATGCTGATAGCCTTATTCATCCTTTACTTATTTTCTAGTCCATAGGTCAGCAAACTTTCTTTCTGTGAAGAATCAAATAGTAAACATTTCAGGTTTTGTTCAGTTAATTACTCAACTCTGCCCCCAACATAGCACTAACTCATGTTATTATTGTCCATGCAACCACGGACAATAATAACAAAGCGGTGTAGCTTTGTTCCAATAAAAATTTATTTACTGGGGCTCCTGGGTGGCTCAGTCAGTTAAGCAGCTGACTCTTGATTTCAGCTCTGGTCACGATCCCGAGATCATGACATCAAGCCCCATGTCGGGCTCTGCTCTCAGTGAGGAGTCTGCTTGAGGATTCTCTCTCTCTCTCTCTCTCTCTCTCTCCCCCTCTGCCCCTCCCCCTGCTTGAACACACTCTCTCTCTAAAAAATAATAAATAAATAAATCTTAAAAAAAAAAAAAAGAAAAGAAAAAGAATGGAGGCTTTAACATTTTATTTACAAAAACAGACCCATGACTCTGAAAAACAAACAGGGTTCTAGAGGGGAGGGGGGTGGGAGGATGGGTTAGCCTGGTGGTGGATATTGAGGAGAGCACATTCTGCATGGAGCACTGGGTGTTATGCACAAACAATGAATCATGGAACACTTCATCTAAAACTAATGATGTAATGTATGGGGATTAACATATGAATAAAAAAAAAATAAAAAATAAAAAAAAAAAAAACCAGACCCATGGACTCATCATCAGAGAAATGCAAATCAAAACCACAATGAAATACCATCTCACACCTGTCAGAATGGTGAAAATCAAAAACACAAGAAACAAGTATTGGTAAGGATGTGCAAAAAAGGGACCCTCTTACACTGTTGGTGGGAATGCAAACTGGTGCAGCCACCAGAAAACAGCATGGAGGTTCCTCAAAAAGCTAAAAACAGAACTATCCTATGATCCAGCAACCACACTACTAGGTATTTACCCAAAAAATACAAAACACTAATTCAAAGGGATATATACAGTCCTATGTTTATAGCAGCATTATTTACAATAGTCAAGATACGGAAGCAGACCAAATGTCCATCAACTGAGGAATGGATAAAGAAGACTAGGGGTATAACATGGAATATTACTCAACCATAAGAAAGAATGGAATCTTGCCATTTGCAACGACATGGATAGAGGTAGAGAATAAAATGCTAAGTGAAATAAGTCCGTCAGAGAAATATGATTTCACTCATATGTAGAATTTAAGAAACAAAACAAACAAGCATAGGGAAAAAAAAGAGAGAGACAAACCAAGAAACAGACTCTTAACTATAGAGACAAACTGACGGTCACCAGAGGGGAGGTGGGTGGGAGATGGGGGAAATAGGTGATGGGGACTAAGGGGTGTACTTATCAGGATGCGCACTGAGTAATGTATGGAACTATTGAATCATTATACTGTAGAATTGAAACTAATATAACACTGTATGTTAACAATACTGGAATTAAAATTTAAAACTTAATTAAAAAAAAAAAAAAAAACAGGCCCAGGGGCTAAATTTGCCTCCTCTTGGTCTAGCGTTCAGGGTGCTGGGAAGGAGAAGTAAAACAGCATACTTCAAACGCTCCTGTAAGAAAGTGGCAGGAACAAGAGTGATCTGAAACCACCCACCAGGGCATGAAACCCCAGAGTATTCTTCCCATCATACCCTGTACTTTTCCAAGACCAAAACCAAGTCTAGACACACGAGGTAGGAATTGGTCCTCAACAATCTTTGTTCTCAAGATACATGGGTCTCTCCCTCAGAGAAGCAGCTTCTAGTCTGTCATGGGGCTTGTCTTCTGAACTGGGCATCCCATTGGAGGTTCAGCACTGACCTCCACCAACCCTGGCCATTTTTGTCGCTGGCAGTAGGCCAGGGCCAGGGACACGAGTTGTAGTCACTGAGTTAAAAGAGGTGACTTGCCCACCAGGGAAGGAACCCGTCCAGCAACTCATAAACCACTCAAGAATGAAGAACATCCATAGGCGAGCCCTCCCACAGCTGGCCTTGAACTCCTCCTACCTGCTGAATGGCCGGGGAGGGTCCCGGGAGCCTGGAGCGGCCAAGGTCCACCAATGTCACCTCTCAACCCCCCCGAAACATGTGGCTCTTCCCTCTCTGGACACCTCCTCCTCTCTCACACCTCACACCCCATCCATCAGCAAATCCTATCAGCTCTCCCTCAAAATGTAATAAGAGTTTGGCTGCTTTTCACCCATTCCATCACCAGTATGCTAGTCAGAGCCACTTGCTAGTTGGTCTTACTAATTCTGCCATTGATCCTGCCTCCCCCCAAACAGTATTCTCATGTTAAAAAATTAAGTGAGATCATGTCCATCCATGGTCCCCAAAATCCTTACAATGGCCTGCAAGGCCCTATGCAATCTGGATCCCAATACACACACCCCCATTGCCCATCACCTCCCTAATCACCCCTTAGTCCTCTCCTGCTCGTTCACACTGTAACAGGTGCAACAGTCTCCTTTAGTTCCTCAAACACGCCTGAACACACCTGAAACTCAGGACCTCTTGCTCTTCTCTTGCCTCGGCCTGGAACGTTCTCTCCCAGAAAGGCACCTGGCTTCCTCCCTCGCCTCCCTCCTGTCTTTGCTCAAATGTGTCCTCAGAGAGATCTTCCCCGATCATCCTATGAAAATCACAGTCCGACCCTCCAACCCCACCACCAGGATCCTCTACTGCCCTTCCTCACTTGGTTTCTCCCCAAAGCATGAATCTGCAGTGGACATGCTGAGCCTTAATTCAGACTTCACACACACTAGAAGGTCAGCTCTATGAGGACAGGAATGTCCTCGAACTGAGACAGGCATGCAGCAGGTGGTAAAAAAGCATTTGTTAAATTAATCCCCTTCTACTTATCTGCCCTGGAGTATCTCAGACGATTCCTTTTTTTCCCCCCCTTCCATTCCTCATTTTTAGCATCTTTATTTTTTATCCTACTTTCATCTTCATTCAATCATGCTTATAGATTCTTGTTTCTTCCTTTTTCACTCCACATCTTGCCTTCCCTTCTTTCTTTTATTACCCAGAACTGTTTAAGTAGATTTCTACATCTAAAAACAGAGGCTTTTTTAAATTACTGTTTCTACCAAATCCTGACTCCAGTGTCAAATACGTAAAGAATCCAGGAGTTTGTAATGTCTTTTTTTAAAAAACTCGCTGATCATTTTTGAAAGATAATATGGAATCGGTTCATTATTCTGGTAAATAAAAGAATCAAGCCATTATTCTGCCTTTTATATACAAATGATACCTCGAGGTAATTTTTTTAAAAGACTGAAATAAGGTTCTTTATAAAAATGTTCCAGCTAAAAAATGCAGAAGAAATGACAGAATGAGATTATCACCTTTTTGTAAACACCTTAAATGAAAGATGATGTACGCACCCAATGGAGGCCATCAGTGGCTACTGGGGCCCCTAATAAATATTGGATGATCAGATTCCCGGCACCTGCCACCTCAAAAAGACACAAAGTATGTCACCTGACGAAGTTACATTAATCACGCATGAAATACTGTTGCCCAAAAATAGGAACTTGAATTGAATAAAGCCCTTAGTTTATAGGACATTATGGAGACAATAAACACATTTAATGACAACACAGGGGTGCCGGCCACAGGACAAAAGAGCGAGCTTCTTGACCAAATATATTGCCAGAGAGAACAAGACAGGGACAGGAAACCTACATATTAAAAGAGACTTGAGACACTATCAACCGAATGCCGTGTGTGGACTTTAAGTCTTTTCATTTACTCTGAGCGACTTTTAACTAACTGTGAAAAAATATTTTATCAGACAATCAGGGAAATCTGAATGTGCATATTCAGTGATATTAAATGAATTATCATTCTTTTGTACATGATAATAGTGTGTTGAGGTGTAACTAAAAGAACCCTATCTTTTCAGAGTCATAAGGAAATATTTAAAAACAAATCTGATTTTCTTTTTAAATCCACATCTTAAAATTCTTCTTCAAGCAAAGGACTTTGGTTGTTTTGATCCTATAGAAGTCACTGCTTTTCAAAGATACCCATAAATGAGGTGACGCAGAAAGAAGAAGCAGTGAATATCAACTAACGCGAGGCATGGATTTAGGGCTGTATGGTAAACAAATAAATGAAAAAGCAAATAGATTGATATACCCTTGATGCACCTAGAAAGTCCCTCAAAGCATATAGGAGAGTATAAACTGCTCACCATGCAGAGGTCAGGCTTCTGATAATGTTAATATCTGGAACACAGCCATCTGGAAATTAAAGAAAAAAAAAATACTTCTGAGTGACCAACAGCTTTCCCAAAGCCCATGCACTTTACCCCATGAAAGAAAAAGAAGCATGTCATTTATAAAACTGTATCCAACAAGGCATCATCAAGAACGAACAGCAGAGGGGAAAAGCAGAGCACTCGGAATTAGAAGCGGAGGAGTAGAGCCATCCAGGAGTTTATAACAAAGACAGAGTCCACACAGACTCAGCCCCCAGGGGCATCCCCCCTCACACAGCCTCCTACAGTAACAATATCCCCGAGTCTGCAGCACGGTTCCACCCGGGCTCGGAATGCTGGTAAAGAAAGCAAGAGGGTCAATATCGACACCGCTTTAACATTACTTTCATTAAGATGGTTAAAATCTGGGGCACCTGGGTGGCTCAGTTGGTTAAGCGACTGCCTTCGGCTCAGGTCATGATCCTGGAGTCCCGGGATCGAGTCCCGCATCGGGCTCCCTGCTCGGCAGGGAGTCTGCTTCTCCCTCTGACCCTCCTCCCTCTCATGCTCTCTGTCTCTCATTCTCTCTGTCTCGAATAAATAAATAAAATCTTTAAAAAAAAAAAAAGATGGTTAAAATCTAAGAAGCTCCTTTCTTCCCTTAAGGAGGGAGGAAACAGGTTCCAGGGAAAAACAGAACTGAGATGAAGGAGCAAAAGTGAAGTTGAGTTTCGAACTTGAGACCGAGGCAAAGCTTCTTAGCAAGGAGCACCCGCCCACAGGTGCCCGAAGCGGGCTCCTCGCAGCTGGCCCGCCTGGTTCTCAACACTGGGTGGGTTGGACTGGAAGTCCTAGAGGATCCCAAACAATTCCAAGGTTTTATGGGGCATAATGTTTAAAAAAAAAAAAAAAAAAAGGTATTCTGATGTCTGTTTAAAAATGGTAAGGAAGACTTTATTCAGGGCTATTGCAATAGAGGAGAGATGGAGCTCAACTCTGAATGCAGCAAAGACACCTCGGGATGTATAACAAACGAGAAGAGCGAGGGGAGGACACATCAAGGGTAGGGGGGTTCTTACTAAACCCACAGAAAATAGGATTGCTGCTGAAGGCAGCCCCAGGTGACCAGATATTGCATACCAACGTGATCACATACGAGAGTGGGAGATTCTCTCTAAACTGACTTAGCAGGATTCTTGCTACAACTGGGCTGGGCACGCCAAAGACAGGACAGGGACCACGCAAGGTCTGGGTCTAATCAAAAAGAGGGCTCAAAGGACCCTGACCTAAGTTTGCTTAAGGAGAGGCTCATTGTCAGTGATGCTAACCCCACCTTATAATAGAGATGCCGGCACCCAGAGATGGTATCCGAGGTCCCAAGGTGCCGAGCGGGAGCCGGGAGCAGATCCCAGACATCCCAGAGCCAAGCTGTGCGGTGTGAGTTACACCTGCTGTCTCACCATAATTACACTGCATAATTCTTCTTAATTTCCCAACTGCTTCCCCACATATAATTTCTCTGTTTTGCAAAAATCTAGAAATGCCCATTTCTATACATCCAGCTATCATGTAAGAGAAAAGTACCTTTGAACATAACACCATGTGAGTAATATATATGTAATTCCCTGAGATACCAAGGAAGACAGATTGATCATCATGAGTCGTAACGAAGCCTTTCAAAGTAGCCTTGTAATAACAGGCCTACAAATAAAATAGGAAAAAAGAAAAGAAAAGAAAAGCCTAAAAGCCTGGATTTAAAAGCATCTGAATAAAAACAGGAAGCTTGCAACCATGAACAGGATTACAAAAGCTCCAGAGCACAAGCTAAGCCGTTTCCCATGATGCCCGATCCCCCAAGGAGAGCATTTAAGGATGACAAAGCTTCTCCTTTGCAGTTTCAAAAGTGCCATCGACTGGATAAAAGGTACTTAAGAATCTGAAGAGTCACATACTCAATATTGTCTGGTTGTGTCCCATCTTTTTTCCACTGGAATGTATGCCCTAGGAGCCTGACCTCCATGGCCTGCATCAACCAGGCTCCCTTGCCCTCTGGCCTTGTGGCAGGTAAGAGTAGAAGCTAGGAGAGGAGGAGGAGGGTAAGAAGGAAAGAGCACGTATCCCCCTGCTTCCTCCCTGCCAGGTCACTGGAGGTCTCTCCACGGGTCACAGCTTCGCTTCGGGAACCCTCTCCCCCTATCCTTAGTTCCAGGGGCTGAAGAGTGCCATAGACTGAATACGTCCCCCAAATTCATAGGTTGAAACCTACCCCCCAATATGCTAGTATTAGGAGGTGGGGCCTTGCGGGGTGATTAGGTCATGAGGGTGGGGCCCCCAGCAATGAGATTCGTGCCCTTATAAAAGGGACCCCAGAGGGATGCCTGGGTGGCTCAGTGGGTTGAGTGTCTGCCTTCGGCTCAGGTCATGAACCCAGGTCCTGGGATCGAGCTCCATGTCATCATCAAGCCCCCCAAGTCTAGCTCCCTGCTCAGCGGGGAACCTGCTTCTCCCTCTCCCTCTGCCCCTCCCCCCTGCTTGTGCATGCTCTCTCTCTCTCTCTCTCTCTCTCTCTCACATAAATAAAATCTTTTTTTAAAAAAGGAGGGGGGAACCCCAGAGAGTCCCCTCACCCCTTCCTCCACGTGAGGACACAGGAAAAGACAGATATCTATCAACCCACAAGCAGCCCATCACCAGACCCCAAATCTGCAGTGCCTTCATAGTCTGGGACTTCCCAGGCTCCAGAAGTGTGAGAAATAAATTTCTGTCATGTATACATTTCCCAGTCTGTGGTATCCTGTCATAGCAGACTGAACGGATGAAGACAGAGGGGCTTCCTGGGGTAGCCCCAGCACCTCACTCCCCCTCTCTGCTCCCTGACCCCGGGAGACACCTGCATTCAACTCTCCTCTCTCACCTCTTTGAGCGTGCCGTATCTTTTCCTGCCAGGCCTCTGACTGACGACAAAGGAAAGAGAAGGGGGGCAGAAAATCCAAAATTTAATTTTCCATACTTGCCTGCAGTTGTGTGGCGGGGGAGAAAAAGGGAAAACCCAATTGTTAAGCTAGGCTTCATGGTATGAACGGGGAGGGTAGGATATGGCTCAGAAGGCTCTAGGTGTGAAGGTGCCAATGAAAATCCAGAATTTATATCCAGAAAGGGACACATGCATTTTTCTGAGAAGCAAACTCCAGGAAGAAAAAGGTCAAAAATTAAGTTGTATTCTCAAAAGTTGACCCCAACATGCAGAGCCAATGCTGTGAGAGAAACAGAGCACAGAAACAGCCTCCTCCTGGCGAGGAGAAGAAAATGACCAGGTGGACGAAACAGCCTCCTCCTGGCGAGGAGAAGAAAATGACCAGGTGGACGATGGGTGCCTGTGTGGGGTACCTGTGTGGGCTGCAGGTGCAGAAACACAACCTCCTCCCCCCAACAAGGGCTGGGCTGGAGGAGAAGCCACCCCCCGCCAGCCGCCTCCCCCAGCCGCCCCCACCCGCTCCTCGGAGGCAGCTGGGATGGGTGCTCCCTCCCAACAGCCAAGTGACATTTCAAAAGCTCATCAGCCCAGCAGGTGTTTGGATGTACGCGCAAAAGCAAAAACAGTAACGGGCTGAGGAAAATCTCATCTTTTTGTTCTGAAAAGCTGGGAACACTGAGGCACGGGAGAGCAGGGAGGTGTGGGGGCGGCAAAGAAGGAGGGGAAGAGCAGAGCTGACGTCCCATCCGAGGGGCAAGGGAGAGCCTCCCCCCGGCGTGTGGAGTCAGACCTTAGCCTCCTAGGGGGCCCCTCCCCTGCTGTGCGAGCCAGGATTCCAGAACGGTGGCTGAGGCCCTCCCCGGGGCCACCGTTTCCCTGTGCAACATGGAGACCACCGCTCAGTGTGAACCTCACAGGGCTGTGGTGGGGGTCAATGAAGAAAATGTGCATCCAACACTCCGAATGCCTTCCCAGGGAGGTTTTGTAATTCGTATCAGAGCTCTTCTTCATTTTCTGCACTACTGGGCTGGTCATGGCTACAGATGAACAGAAGCTTACGAAAGACTGAGAAAATCAACCTCCAATTCCACACCACAGAGGATGTCCCAAAAGAGTGATAAGCCAGGTGGGCAAGGGCCCCTGAACGGCACCACACAGCCTCTGCCCCACACGGAGCCCTAGGACTGTGCCCCCTTCCCTGTGCCACTATCGTTTCCCCAGCTGTACCAGGGGCCTTAGCTCAGAGGCAGAGGCTGTTGGGATCAAGGGCCCCGCTCGGGAGCCCAACGGCCTCAGCTGACCCCTGGCCTTGTCATGGACTGAGCTGGGCAAGCTAAACTACCCTTCTGACTTAGTTTTCTCGTGTATAAATCAGGTGCGACCATAATCGTAGTAGCTAGCTCTCTTTCTGTGAGGATTAAAAAAAAAAAGTCACGCCAAGTTCTTAAAATAGCGCCTGGCATACAGTAAGAACTCAATAAATGCTAGCTATGGTGCTGCCCTGCACATTTAAGCTAGTTTCTGGGGCCCACCGAATAAGGAGGCATCTGTGCTCCGGAGAGCAGCCAAACAAGGGCTCCACCAGCCCACGAGCCAAGCACCATATGTCCGTGATTCGAAGCTGTGTTTTGTATGTTAATGCTCCTAAAATTACAATACACGTGCACATTTAACACTGCAGATTTGCTCCTCTGTAAAATGAAGACTATGGCATCTACCTAATGGGACTGAGGAAAAATTCGTGATTAATTTATGCAAAACACTTTGGACAGGGCTTGGCGTCAGAAACTGTTCTCGGCGGGTATGATCCTCATCAGGACATTAAGCGATCTGACCTGCTGCAGGCCTTCCCGCTCCAACCGACTATGAAGATGCTTCCACATTCCTCCTTGATACAGGGATCGCTTGATCCCTGGTACCCAAAGATGCTGCGGGCTTGGGGCTGCAAAGTGAAGAGCCAGAGCCCTGGCACACAGCACGGCTGCTGGGTTTTTACACTTTCCCTGGCTTCCCAGAACTAGTGACTTTACAGGGATTGTTGAGAAGTTGTTATATTGCATCATATTGGTT